TCTCCCAGAAACATAGCTCTGTGCCAACCAATGAGCACTTGCCTGCTTAGCACAAGTTACCTAACCCTGCTCCAAGCTTCCCTTTGCTCCATATAAGGAAAGTACCCCAGTGTAACAATTAACAATGCCCAGTGTAACTTTCTTGTTCCTGCTCACTTTGGTCTATGAAACTCTCTCACTTTGTACAACCCTTGGAAACTCTTTCCTGTTTTCTAGACTTAATGCTTTTCAGTTTGTGAATTGTTAAATAAAAGTCAACTAGATCAGGAAATTAAGTGTCTGAAATTTTCTTTATAACCAGCAATGAACAGTTTAAAATGAAATGTAAAAACAATAGCATAAAAAAAAGTTTGGCATAATTTTTCCCCCAATCCTTACCCCAGGATAGATATGCTCTACTGATTGGGGGCGGAGGGGTGGGGGGAGAGAGAAGCCACACACATCGATTTATGAGAGAAAAATCATTTGGCTGCCTCCTGTACACACACTCTGATGGGGGATCGAACCTGTAACGTAGGCATGTGCTCTGATTGGGAATCAAACCAGTAACTCTTTGGTGCTGGGACAATGCTCTAACCAGCTGAGCCACATTGGCCAGGGAGTTTGGCATAATTTTTATAAAAGATATGAAACCTATACATTAAAATTTACAAAACATTACTGAGAAACCAAGGGCCTAAATATACAGGGAGATGTACCATTTTCATGGATTAATATGCTCTACTAAGATGGCATCTCTCTCCTAAATTGATATATAGAATCAATGCAATCCAATCAAATTTCATCAGGCTTTTTTTTTTCTTTTAGAACTTGACAATCTGATGGTACAATTTTTATGGGAATGCAAAGGAATTAGAATAGCCAAAACAGTTTTGAAAAGAAAAAAAAAAACAACAACACAAAAAACAAGCCCTAGCTGGTTTGGCTCAGTGGATAGAGTGTCAGCCTGTGGACCAAAGGATCCTGGGTTTGATTCCAGTCAAGGGCTTGTACCCTGGATGCAGGCTCCTCCCTGGCCCAGGCGCTGGTCCAGACCGGTGCAGGGGGCAACCAATCGATGTGTTTCTCTTACATTGATGTTTCTCTCTGTCTTTCCCTCTCTCTTCCATTCTCCCTAAAAATTAATGGGGAAAAAAAATATCCTCAAGTGAGGATTAAAAGAAGAAAAAAACAAGTTTGGTCAACTTAAGCTAAATCCATAATAATAAAAATGGTATTGCCATAAAGACAAGACAAAAAGATCAATGGAACAGGATAAAGAATCCAGAAATAGACTCACATATATGCCATTTTCAGCTAGGGCTCCAAGGTAGCATAATAGGGAAAAGATAGTTTTCCTAAAAATTAGTGCATATCCATATGCAAGGAAATGAATTTCAAACCTTCCCTTCCACTATACTAAATGGGGTTCCAAAATTCACGCAAGAAGTAATATTGGTAGAAAACACAGGTTTATAATTAAAAATTGTAAATTTTTTATTGATTTATAAAGGATACAGTATAGGGTTATGTATAGAATAGCATATCGGGTAAATGGCCTCCACAGCTTTGCTGGCACATATACACTCTTTGTTGAAATTTTCCATGACTCTTTTGCATAAATGTGGCTGAATTTTGTTGATACAGTGCTCAATTTCCTCCTTCAAGGCGTGGGTGGTCGTGGGCTTGTTGGCATAAACCTTAGACTTCAAAAAACCCCAAAGAAAAAAGTCCAACGGCGTTAAATCACATGATCTGGGTGGCCAATTCTGATCACCAAAATGGGAAATTACACGACCAGGAAATGACTCATGCAGTAATTGAATTGTTTCTCGGGCTGTATGGCATGTGGCACCATCTTGTTGAAACCACATGTCGTCCACATCCGTATCTTGCAATTTAGGCACAGAAAACTCGATTATCATGTCACGATAGCGAGCAACATTAACTGTTATTGCCTGAGCAGCCTCATTTTCGAAGAAGAATGGTCCGATGATGCCTCCAGCCCAAAATCCACACCAAACAGTGACACGTTGTGGATGCATTTATTTCTCAACAATCACTCGTGGATTTTCTGAACCCCAAATGTGACAATTTCAGCCCGAGAAACAATTCAATTACTGCATGAGTCATTTCCTGATTGTGTAATTTCCCGTTTTGGTGATCCATGAAATTCAACCACATTTATGCAAATGCTATTTACCCGATATGCTATTCCATACATAATCCTATACTGTATACTTTATGAATCAATAAAAAAATTTACAATTTTTAATTATAAACCTGTGTTTTCTATCAAAATTACTTCTTGCGTGAATTCTGGGACACCCTTTAGTATATAATCATTAAATTAAAATATACTTAATTGTGAGAGCTAAAATTATAAAATCTGGATAAGGACTCCTTTGTGACCTTGGTTTAAGATTTCCTAGACAAGACACTAAAAGCATGAACTATAAAGAAAAAATTGTAACTGAGGCTTTATTAAAATTAGAAACTTTTCTCCTAAAAAGACATTGTTTAAGAAAAGGAAAGCACCAGTCACAGAATGGCAAAACAGTATCTGATAAAGGATTTGTTTTGAAAATATATCTTAAAATATTTTAACAAAATACACATTTAACTAATTAAAAATAGGTAAAAGATTTTAACATTTTGCCAAAAAAGATATCCAAAGGTAAGTAAGCACATTAAAGATCCTCAACATCGTAAGGCATTTGGAAAATGCAAACTAAATTCACAATGAAAACATTCACTATACATCCACTAGAACCACTGAGATGAAACATCTGACAACCCCAAGTGACAAAACCAAGTGGAGCATCTGAAACTGATTCATTGCTGGTAGAAATGCAAAATGGTACAGTCACTTTAGAAAAACATTCTTATAAAATAGTTAATATATAGTTACTAGAGGCCCAGTGCACAAAATTCGTGCATGGGTAGGGTCCCTAGTGGCTGCCGGACACCGTCCGGGGCCTCCCTTCCCCAGCTGCTGGCTGCCGGCAAGGGCCTTCGTTTGGTCCATGCTGCCACCTGGTGGTTAGCACACATCATAGAAAGTGATCAAACTCCCGAGGGGACACTTTGCATATTAGGCTTTTATATATATAGATTGCTTGCCTCAGCAATTCCACTCCCAGGTATTTCCCAGGAGGAATTAAAACATGTCCCCATAAAGAAGAGGATATGAATGGTCATAGCACCTGTATTCATTATGATCCCGAACTGGAAACAACCAGATGCCCATTGACTGGTGAATGGATATACAAATTGTGGTTTAATCATACAATTGTCATTTCAAAAAGAATGCACAGCTGATGCAAGCAACAACAGAGTGACTCTCAAAAGCATTATGCTAAAATGGAAGAAACTGGACCAAAAAAGGCTACATGTAGTATCACTCCATTTATACGGCATCCTAGAAATGGCAGAACTGTAGTGATTCAAAGATCAGAGGTTCCAGGGCTTGGGATGGAATGAGTGGATTGACTGCAAAGATGCACATTTTGAGGGTGATAGAAATGCTTTATGTCTTAATGGTTGTGAAAATTACATATGTCAAAACTCAACATTCAAATGGGTGAATTTATATGTAAATTATATTTCAATAAATGTTTTTCCTTAAATACAATAGGTCTGTTACTGCTTATTTGTGTGTATATGTCTGTGTGTGTGTGTGGGGGGGGAGGGGTTGTTTTGTTTTTTGGTTAATCCTCACCCAAGGAAATTTTTTCCACTGATTTTTAGAGCTTGGAAGGGAGGGAAGGGGAGAGAGAGAGAGAGAGAGAGACATAGATGTGAGAGAGACATTGATTGGTTGCCTCCTACAGGCACCCCAACCCTTGGAGGATCCAACCTGCTACCTAGGTATGTGCCCTTCTCAGAGGATCCAACCTGCTACCTAGGTATGTGCCCTTGACTGGAATCAAACCTGAGACCCTTTGGTGCTCAAGTCGATGCTCTAACCACTGAGTTACATGGGCCAGGTTTAATTGTTTTTTTATAGTTGGGGCTATAAGGTCTGGTCATTAGGATTGTAGACAGATTTTTAAAGACACGGTGTGATAAGTGTGATGGCAGGCAGCAGTAGAGGGTGCTTAGTCCTGGAGGGTGTGGTGGCTTCTTCCTTGACTCAACAGTCATCTCCAGTCCTCGACTCCTCCCACTGTGGAAGCCAAAAGACAGGTTCTTGCTTTTCCAGCTGCTTCAGCTAAGGGTGCCTCAGTGATCTCGTTTTGTTCAAGGATATCTAAGGTGACTAGGGTGGGGCTTCTAGTAAGGCTATTGCTTTCCTAATAAAAAGAGAATGTGCTATACTGTCTCCCACTCCCCCCCTCTTTATTTAATGTGAAAAGAATTCTGCCTGACGTGATTGCTCAAGTAGAAGATACTTCAAAAAGGAAGAAAAACAAGCTGAAGATTTTCCCACCTAAGTATATTTATTTAAGTGTGATGGTCAGAATATTACAGTTTTCAGAATACCAGAAATAATTTCTGTATTTTCTATGACCACTGTATCTAGTCCAATGTTCTATTTCTTTTTAATCTTCCTTAATTGGGTAGATTCTGTGCGAAGAATATATGTCATTCTAGTCAGAATAACTTCTCTCTTATGTATAGCGAATGTAATCAGGGTTTGAAGGGCTATAGCTCAAAAAAGAAAAGAGTACTTTATATTTATGTTCCATAAGGGGAATTAGGTGTTAGGCTAGTAAAATTTGGTTCTTCTAAAGTATTTCCATATGAAGTATTATTGGATGTTCTCATGCCCTCTGATATCGCTGCATAGTCATATATATATTTCTGTTCTTGTTGAAACCTGAAACCTAGAGAGAGAGGAATGACAAATGTTTAGAAAGATGCCTGATGTGATTAAGATATAGACTCATTCAATATACCAGGCTAAGGTCTATTCCACATTCCTTTCACCACTGTTAGAGCACCTATCTTTATATCCTACTTAACTGAAGCCATAAATGTCCCAAGTTTTTTAGTTCATCCTACTGTTTCCTACTATATTTCATTGTTTATCTCTACAAAAGGCTCTGAAGGACTTGGGTTTGAGTTTGATTTATTACTAACTAGAGGCCTAGTGCATAAAATTTGTTCACAGATAGGGTCCCTAGCAGCTGCTGGCTGCCGGCTGGGACCTCCCTCCCCATGACTGCATGCCACTGTCGCGGGCCAGGGCCTCTCTTCCCCCGGTTTGCCTGGACAGCCCCGCCCCCTGGTCAAATCGGTTGAACTCTTGGTTGAGGGGACAATTTGCATATTAGGCTTTTATTATATAGGATTAGCTGTGCAATTTGTGGCAAGTTATTTAACCTAAGTCCCAGTGTCCTCATCTATAAAATGGGGCTAACAACAGTGCATACCTAATCATTTTTGTGAGAATTAAGTGTAATGTGCATGTAAAGGACTTAGCATTCAGCATGGCATTTAGTTAGTGCCCCATAATTCATTACTAGCTAACAGTTTTTTATTCATAAATGAATAGAAGCCTTTCTCTCTCTAGAGCTAAAGTTTCCAAATATCTGGATTAGATTACCTTGTGCTCTTGAAGAAGTGGCACACATTCTCTCCTCTTCTCCAGTGCCAGCACCTTCAATGTCTCACCTTCTACTGACTTCAGCTATAAATGAAACCTCTCCTACTTAAAATAAATTTCACTTTCTCCTGTGCTCCTTCCAATCATCATACTATATCTTTCCATCTGTCTTCCATCGGCACAGGCAGACCTCGTTTCGCAGCACTTTTGACTTTATTATGCTTCACAGATATCGTTTTTTTTTTTTTACAAATGGAAAGCAAGACCCTCCACAAGCAAAAAGACTATGATTCACTTTATTGCATTATTGAGATGGTGTGGAAGTGAACCCACCATATCTCCAAGGTATGCCTGTAATCTCTCTCTCTTTTTAAAATATATTTTAGAGGGAGAGAAAGGGGGAGAGATAGAAACATCAACGATGAGAAGGAATCATTGATTGGCTGCCTCCTACTGGGGATTGAGCCGGCAACCTGGGCATGTGCCCTTGACCGGAATCAAACCTGGGACCCTTCAGTCTGCAGGCCAAAGCTCTATCCACTGAGCCAAACCGGCTAGGGCTGTAATCTTTTAACTCAATATTTTATATTCTATGCTCCCACTTTTTTTTACTTTCCTTTATGTTCTTTGATCTGTCATTGAAAACTTACTGTGTGCTACACACACTGGGGATTCAGTAGCGAACAGGACAACTCCCTGCCCTTAGTGAAGATAGTTCCCTAAAACTATTCTGTAGAAGACCACCAACTCCATTAAACCCCCGAAGTGGAAACCACAGAATGTTTGAGGAACAGGCAAGAGGCTGTGAGTGAGGGGGCGAGTGGGACATGATTAGAGTGGAAAGCTAAGCCAGAGCCAGAGCCATCCTAAAGTCGGGACTTGGTTCCAAGCGCAGTGAAAACTGAGAGGCAGCAGAAGTGGTCCTGGTTAAGAACATGGGTTCTGGAGCTGGCAGCCCTCACAGGTTCTTACTGTAAGACCTTGAGCAAGTAACCCATCTCTTTGCTTGCTCATCTGTAAAATGCAGATAATAGAACTCATTGGGCTGAAGATCAAATGAGTTAATACTATAAAACACTGTAAGTTAGCACTCCCACATGGGGATTGCTAAAGAAGGGATCCTGTGTTCTAATTTCGTTGGTTTACATTGTGAAATGATGTTTCTGTGTGGGGAATAGCCTGGGGCGGGGGGAGGGCCGGAAAGGGGTAATGGGTTTGGAGGCTGTCACACAAGCTTGCAGAGGGATGATAGCAACCTGGACCGTGGTGTGGTGGTAGCAATGAGCTGGACACAGTGGCTAGGTTAAGGCTAATTATAGAATATGAATTCCGTGCCAGGAACTAGTCCAGTGATGGAGAACCTTTTGAGCTCAGCGTGTCAGCATTTTGAAAAACCCTAACTTAACTCTGGTGCCGTGTCACATATAGACATTTTTTGATATTTGCAACCATAGTAAAACAAAGACTTATATTTTTGATATTTATTTTATATGTTTAAATGCCATTTAACAAAGACAAATCAACCAAAAAAATGGGTTCGCGTGTCACCTCTGACACGCGTGTCATAGGTTCGCCATCACTGAACTAGTCTAAGCTCTTCACACGTTTTTCCTTAGTACATCACTGCTACCTATAACCTTGTACTATTGTTAATCTAATTTTACAGAAGAGGAAACTGAACTATTAACTTGCCCAGGATCACACAGCCAGTAAGCAGTAGAGCCAAAAATCAACACCAGGCACCCTGAACCAACTCTCCACAATTGTAACTTCTCCGTGTTACTGCCTCCCACAGATGGCAGCAGGAGAGAACTCCTAAGCTCAGACTATACAACAACCCTGATTAGACTTGGCTACGTTAGGTGTTGATATTTCTGGGTTATGATGCTGTGCTTCTTCAACTGCTCTGTATTGTGGACCACTGAGGGACAAGAGTGGCATAGGACCTAAACATTACTTCTTATATTTTGAGGCATTTATTTAGCCAAGTGAAGTTTGCTCATTAAATAATTTTTATTTAATAATTGAAACCATGAAGTATGCAACTTTAGAAAAGAATTCATGAATAACTTAAGAAGATCAGTTGCTTTTGAATTCCTTATTTGATTTGATTTACTTCACTATACATTACCTAAGTACATTCTAACATTCCAACTGTTAACCATAAATGGGTAAAGGTAGTAAAACTGGTTTTCTAAAAATGTATTCTGTGCTTTTAAATTTTTAATTTCCACAAATAAAATACATTCATTTTTATAGACAGTATCATTTATAAACAGAAATGTTATTTTTTGTGCTAATAATGCTATAAGAAGGAAAAGTAAAGGAGCTCTCTTCTGCTTAAAAATATATAGCTATTGGATATTTCTAGTTACATTGAAAATGAAGTATGGTTTCAAACTGGAAAAAAATGTAACCCTATATAAAATAAAAAATTTCCTTCTATTTCCAATTAACAGTCTTACTATAAGATAATAATGACTTGGCAAATTTACTTATGTCTATATACTGTGCAGGGTGTGGAAATGTTAGGTGCTAAGAAATGTGTACATATGTGGAATGTATCATTTTTGTTCAGAAGAATTTCCCATAAAATATTGCTAAAAATCACCTACTTTTGAAGTTAACTGAAGAGTCGCTTGTAGCAATTTCCTTCCAGCTGGCAACATACCTAAGCACATTATATAGACATTAAATTAAATTGGTTTATTAGGAAGTAATTAATTGACTTATCAGTTCACGCTTAGGCTACTTCTACAATTCCATTTCCTTCGTGAAATCGCAATGACAACAAACTCACTTGTCCAAATGTTTCATCCTCATGACTTTCCCACCTCCAAGTAGCTCTCATGCACCCAAGACAACCTCTAGGACAGGAAGTTGCAGGAGGTTTAAAAATGGTACCCACCATCTACCATTCTAGTGCCCTGGGTCCCTCAGCACACCTCTCCTCATCTTATCCTGTTCCATTCCTTTGAGATCATGTCTTCAGTTGAATACCTACTAAGATGTTAGTTAACTTCTAAATTAAAAGTATGGACAGGAAATTCTCTGGGAGGGAAAAAGAGAAAATCTTTGTCCTTGGTTCTGGATTGCCAGACCTACTGTTTCTGACATGTCAACAGAAATTTAGTGCACGTGCTTTACGATGTTAGTAGAGCAATGTGCAGTCTTTGCAGTGTGCTGTAAACATGAGAGGTCGCATTCAAATAGGGCACATGCAGCTGCCACCTCAGTTCCCTAGATAGACTGAAATAGGGAAACCAGGGTAGCCTGAGAAGAGGTCAAATAGGGAAGGACAAGGTCTCATGAGGAAATACTCTGAAAGGCAGGTTTCCTGCAACTGTTCCACTTCACTTGAGGCTCTGTGTCCCCTTTCCCAAGCCTCCTTTCTTCCAACTGCACCCCAGAAATCAGGTAAGAAACTGGTCACAGGAGGTACTGAAAGGGGGCTGGCAGAGAATGTATGAGGAGGATTGGAATTGTCGTGTAAAAAAATGATATTCCAAGTATTTATTCCACTGTATTACTCTTACTAGCTTTGTGTTCCTGAAGTTTTTTTTTTTTTTTTTAGGAAGGTATATGTTATCCAAGAACATTTAAATATCTTAAGTACTGTGTCTAAAGTCAGCGCCTTTTGTTACTCCTACCTCTTCTTGCTCCAAGAACCATTTATTCCACTGAATTACTCTTACTAGCTTTGTGTTCCTGAAGTTTTTTTTTGTTTTAGGAAGGTATATGTTATCCAAGAACATTTAAATATCTTAAGTACTGTGTCTAAAGTCAGCGCCTTTTGTTACTCCTACCTCTTCTTGCTCCAAGAACTTTATTCTATGGCCTTAAATGGGATATTGCTGGGTCACTGTTACATAAAAAAAAATGCAAGAACCTCTTCCCAGGACCTCTTAGCAGACAGTTCAATCTGGATTGACCTTAAATTTAGGCAGACTTTCAGCGATTGTTTAGGATCACTACGAAGAGCTGGGTGTCTATCACCTGCTTCCTTGGATTTATATACCGAAAGGTTTTCATTCCACCTTCAAGGATACCTGACAGTCTTGGTTACAAACATATGCCCTATTTAACTAAGGCTGATCACTGGCCTAGCTTTATCTGATATTAGGACAATTATTTATTTGCAGATATTGTACCATCCTTTCATCCCTGGGATAAATCCTACTTGGTCGTGGTGTATGATCTTTGTGATGTACTGCTGGATCCGATTTGCTAAGATTTTATTGAGGATTGGGACAATTATTTAAAAAGAACTTCTCATAAGGAACATATGTAACTTATAAAACAGTGATAAAAAAATCTAAGTTTTATAAATAGAAGCAACACTCTGGTGATAGCATTACCATACTGCTCATATCATAGCACTAATTTGTCTTTCTCTCTAGGACGTTTTTAAGATAGTAATTATAGAATAATTACTATTCTACATGTGGAATCTATAATGAATTCCTCAGGGATGCAAAGTTAACATTTTAGTGGTCTGAAAGTCCCTAGCCAGAGAGGCCATGTAACTACATATCCTAGAAATTGAAGAAACAGCTTCAGACATAGAAACTAACCCTCACACACATAGGCAAAGATCCCTCGCCAACACAGTTAATAATTGATCATCAGGAAATTATTTAAGATACCCCAACTGCTGATAAGTTAGGTTATTTCAAAATTCATATGCAATTTGAAAATTATGAAGATCCTGGAAGCGGACCATCTGGTAGATAGAGAATATGCCCCTGAAGATCCAACAAGAACATTAGCCACCATGCAGCATTGCGGGCAGCTCAGTGATGGTGATGTGGAGGGTTACATTCTAAGTGCCTGCAGCAACACATCTCTAGATACTGCAGAATTTGCAACAATACTCATCAGTGTCCGTGAGTCCAAGAGTGAAGTTGTCTCTATTCATTCTTCCAAATTATAATATTGTGCTCAGTTGATATTGTTGCAATGCGCATCTGCAGATGCACATGGCCATGCGTCATGACAAGGGGCTAGCACAAAAGTTGCTGGGGAAGAACCTGGTTTGTATCACTCAATATCAGTGTTTAACACATTTATGTCAATCTAATGGTCTGACTAGTGAAAACTCCACAGATTTTGAAGGATACTCTCCAAGAAATTAGTGGCTACCAATTCTCCTGCAGAAAAATGTCAGACTCTGGAATTCTCATCAAACAAGGTGAGTTACGAACATCTAGATGACTGCAAAGATCCAACAGGAAAGTAGAGTGTGGAGACCATCAATGCACTGGGAAGAAGGTGCTGGCTTATACCTAATGTCTGCAGTCGGCTGGGGGAAGATCTCTGCAAAGTTTGGTCTTGCCTCATAATCAGCAGCTTGGGATTAGTAAGGCTACTGAAATAATCCCAAATTATCACACTGGATTCTATTTGAAATATTTGTTGTCCAGGGCTCAGTAGAAAAACTTGCTTCCTAAGAATTCAAAGTTGGTTCCAAATTATGATTGTGCCTAAGTGAGAGAATAAACTGCTAGAAATTGTACATAATTTGGACGCGTGAAGTATCTGCATTAAAAAGAAAGAAATTTTCTGTTAGTCTTTCCATGTCATAGCTAGGTGTATTCATCTCATCCAACATAGAGTATTTGATACAAAAAACCACTTCAAGTCTTACTGGTTTAATGTTTTTGTCCTTTCTTCCACAAAGAGACCATTAGAAATGTAATCCCCTACCAGAGAAGGGCATGGCAGGTGGCTGAGATGCCTGTTTATTTCCTCCCCTCACACTCAATTGCATCATTCTAATTATATTCCAACTTGAGGCCGGGTGCACAAAAATCTGTGCACTCGGGGGAGTCCCTCAGCCCGGCCTGTGCCCTCTCGCAGTCTGGGACCCCTTGGGGGATGCCCACTTGCTGGCTTAGGCCCACTCCCTGGGGGATTGGGCCTACGCTGGCAGTCAGACATCCCTCTGGCAGCCTGGGAGCCCTTGGGGGATGTCCACTTGCCAGTGAGGAGCAGGCCTAAGCTGAAGTTGGACATCCTTAATGCTGCTGAGGCGGGAAAGGCTTCTGCCACCACCGCTGTACTGACAGCCATCAGCCTCCTGCTGGCTGAGCACACTCCACCTGGGGGATTGGGCCTAAGCTGGCAGTCAGACATCCCTCTGGCAGCCCGGGAGCCCTTGGGGGATGTCCACTTGCCAGTGAGGAGCAGGCCTAAGCTGCAGTTGGACATACTTAATGCTGTGCTAGAGGCGGGAGAGGCTCCCGCCACCACCGCTGTGTTGGCAGCCATCAGCCTGGCTTGTGGCTGAGCAGAGCTCCCCCTGTTGGAGGACACTGACCACCAGGGGGCAGCTCCTGCATTGACGGTCTGCCCCCTGGTTGTCAGG